AAGGTAATATATACGGTCAACATAAAATGATTTTTAAGTTAAAAAAAAAGCACCCTCACCTAGCTTTCAGCTTTTGGCTTAAAATAAGTCATTTTTGACTTAAAATAAGTTTGTTTGATACTTGCCAAACACTTTAATAAGTCAAAAACTGACTTTTAAGTCAGTTTGACCAACATTTAAGCCCATCTAAACATATTCTAAATTAGATTAATCTATATATAGATATGGACGCAAAACATATGAATACAAAAGCAACATTATCGGTGAACTGAAAAAGGTATGATACGTTTTTTGCGTGTTAATTGATTTCCATGAAAACCTTAGAAGAGATGATACCTTAAATGGCAGGTATTTTTATTTGGCTATACTTGTGAAAATTTAAAAGAATTATGTGGCACAATGATTTTTTTTGAAGTATGTCTTATTTGAAAATTGTATTGTAGACTATTAGATTATTAGCATTTTAATATTAATATTTAACATATTAAATTGCTTTATTTTGGAGTTATAAGAATGACCGTTGGTAGGCATTTGTGTCTTAAACTACCAATTTAATCATGCTTTTCATCTTTGACTTGGTAGCCATGTAATGCCATTACTTTTGACTTTATTGGCTGAATTCATTGTGAGATAAAACATTCCAATAAACATTGGAATGGATAACTTCTACATCATCCATTAGCATTGGTTATCCATCACTTTATTTCATTCTTAATTCCTCCATTACTCTTTGTAACCTATGTAACTCCTATTGTAACCTATGAAACTCCTAAGACCGTTATCTGCACTATTTACTACCTCCATTATCTTCCTATTCATTGCTAGGAAGACTTGTTGTAGTATAAATAGTGGTGGTCTTCATTTGGTGTGATACATACAACACACAACAAATATAGAGTGAAAGAGTTAGCAAAAAAAGAGAGTTCTTATTAGATGAAGGGAGATATCCTTTTTTGTGGAGCTTTGGACTCAATTCTTGTCCAGAGTTGTTGAGTTATATTTTGTGAAGGTTGTTGTATCCTGGAGGGGACAAGTCAAAGAGGACTACTGCTGGACCGGTGAAATATATTTGTTGTAGTGGGCTTGAATCTCCTTAAAGAGAGCCACATATCCGCGCCTTAGCCTTAAAGAGATTGATTTTCTTCATTTTATTTTCAATTGTAATCTTGTATTTTTTTGTTATCTAGTAAGTTTTTCACTAACAATTCTAAGGAAATTCAACATGGATATAATTAGAAAAACCGCGAATGTCAAGATGGGAGACCTTAACAAACCATTTCGGTTCAATGGTAACCATTTTAAGAGATGGAAGGGTAAAATTCTTTTCTACTTAAGTTTTCTCAATGTTTCTTATATATTAACTGAGAAGAATCCTAATAAACAAGACATCACCTCTATGAATGATGACGATACTATTTCTCATCTAGAGAAAGTGGAAAAGTATAATGGTGATTCCTATAAGTGTCGGTATTATCTTCTTAATTGTCTATCTGATAATTTTTATGATTATTATGATAGAACTTACTCTAGTGCAAAGAAAATTTGGAAGACATTGTAGAGTAAGTATGATACCGAAGAGGCTGGAGCGAAAAAATATGCGGCTAGTAGATTTTTTCGTTTTCAAATAGTGGACAACAAATCAGTGGTAGACCAAGATCAAGACTTTATAATGATCGTTGGAGAGCTTAGGTCTGAAGAGGTTAAAATTGGAGATAACCTCATTGTTTGTGGCATAGTGGATAAACTTCCACATTTTTGGAAGAATTTCAAAAAGCTATGCGCCACAAACAAAAGGAAACCTCTCTTGAAACCTTGATCATGAAAATCCGCATGGAAGAAGAAGCAAGGGGCAACAGAGGAGAACAACATCATAACGAAGGTAAATTTAATTACTTCAAATAATGCTACTCCTGAAACTCACAAAAATACTTCTTTGAAGCCTAAGAAGAAAAAATTCAAGAAAACTAATGGTAGACCTCTCAAGAAAATAAATGGTGAAAATAACCAAGTACAAAATCAACAAGTTCAAGAAAAGGGACCATGCTTTGTTTGTGCAAGAGTGGGCATATTGTTCGATTTTGCAGATTCCAAAAATGTGATCCTAACCCTCAGGAAAAGTACTAGATGAATGTTGTTACACTAATCATGAGATAATTAGGGTGATTTATGGTGTCTTTGTGTTAGTTCTTGAGAATGTGATCTAGGTTATGAAGTATGTTGTGAATTGACCTAAGTATCTTGTCTTAAGCTACAATCTAGTATTGAATTGTGATTATTGATTCTTTTTACCTTGATATCATGTTGGTCATTGAATTATAATGATATTATACTCTAATTGGGTTGAATTAAGGGTTAATGGTAAGACCTTGATGGCGAACTATGAAGGAGACTTGGTAAGTCTTATGGTCCTTATCCTTTACTTCGAATTGTGGTTAATTGTTATTAAGTCATGATGTTGTATTGGAGTATGCTTTCTATTAGGATTATAGGGTGGTATGATGTTGAATTGAAATGTCTTGATTATAGTTGTGAACTTAAGATGTAAAAGTTATAAGGATGGTGAATGATTTACCAATGTGCCTTATTATGAAGTGATATGTTAATATGCTAACCTCACTTATTTGAATTGTAAAGAAAGGATTTTACGCATGCAATAATTATTGAGCTATGATTATTATGATGATATCTATACAAAGGTTATACCTGTTGACCTATATTAAGCTATGATGATTAATAATGACATTAAATACATTTCAAAAAGGCACTCTAGCTTAGCACCAAGTGAACTAGAGTGAGGAGTTTCCCTTCCCATATAGGGAAGATAGGATCACTAATGTATTCTTGATATTGAAGACTACAATGCATGTAGCATGAAGAGGGTCCCAATAATATCTCCTAGTTCTTGCACTATGTTGCTCCCATAAGAATACTAGCTAGTGGATCCATGTAGTTGTTATGTTCATGTTATGGTACTACCTTGGCAAGTAGTCCGCCTTCTTTCGGTGTAGGGTTGCATGACACTGGATTCCACATTAGCTCATGTGGTCTATGTCGGTTAGAGAAAAAGGTAAAATGAACTAAATGATTGAACTCTAACCAAGATGACCTAAAGGGTTTAGCTTAGTCTAGGTAGGAGTATGAGACTCTACCTATATGTTGCACTAGTTATCCTTAAGGAAAGTCTTGGGAGGATGTTCTTATGTATGTATATCCGTGTAAATGTAAATGATATGTACATGATAATCTTAAATGTAAATGGTAATATGTGATGTCCATTACTCCTATGAACATGTAATTGGTCTACATTGTTAAAGTATGATGATATGCATTCTTAAATTCTATATTATGTGAAGTAGGAGGTTGGTCACGATTCTTGTTGAGTTAATTGATTGAGTAAGGTTATGAGGATTTTGCTTGGTCATTGCAGTTGTTGACTTGATAAGGGTTGTGGGTAATTGTCTTGCTTTGGGTTATATCATAATGAACTCTTATTCATGCTTGTTGATGTAATGACTTGATGGTAGAGTTGCTTTGACTATATGTCTAATTTCATGATATGTATGTTGATTTGAATAGGTTGAAATGTTGTTGGTTTTGTGATGTACATGTCTATGACTCAGTGAATATGTATTAATGATTTGGTATGGTCTTGTTGAATGTGCATAAAGGATTTTAAATGAAAAGTGCATACTTATTGAAATGTCCCTTCTCTTAGCATGATTTCAAAGTCTGTGTGCATATGGTCTCATACTTAGAACAAGTGGCGTACTAACCCCATTTATCCCTTTTCCCCAACATTTTAGGTTGCGGTCGTTGAAGGGATTTTTGAGATGACATTGAAGAAGATTTGAATCTCTTATTCATCCAAGTATGGTAGGTTCTCAATTTCCGAGGGCGACGCCACTATCTAGCTAATGAAGTTGTTTTTAGTTAAAAACTTCTATGGTTATTTCCTTACTTTCATTTGAGTACAAAACATTGTATGACCTATATGTGGTCTTATTTCATTGATGTATGGGCTATTCCAAATTTGATATACTCTTATTAGATGGTTATGAGATGAGACGATTATTATGACTATGTTATCTTCTATATATATTTATGTGTAATAAAAGTAGAAGACTAAGTAATCTTCCTTTACGAAGGGTCTATGTATACTCGATATATATATATATATATATATATATATATATATATATATATATATATACTATATGTATGTAGAGGTTTATGTAAACCTCCAAGTAGAAGTAAATAAAAGGATTAAGATTTCCACTAAATTTGACCTATGAATGTAATGATGTAAGCTAAGACGCTAGCCTTAGTTCTCAAAGAGGACGATAATGCCGGTTACGTCTGGGGGGTAAACTCGGATGTGACAATAACATTTAGGAATGTTTCACTTCTTTCATATTTTTTCGTGCATAGAATTTATCTTTAAAAGTCTCTCTCCAATTCTTTCTTATGCGTATTTTCAGATCATCATACTTCCTTGAAGAGCAGTCAAAAGTCGACTAGCCCGGAGAAATATTGAGGAACAAGAAGTTCCAAATTCACCAGATGTGCAGCCCCAAGGAGAGGTTACAAATGCCGAATTCGTGGAAGCTATCCGGATGTTAAGTCAAGTAGTAACCAACTAAGTCGGTCAACAGAGAGGAGCTCGACAAGAAGGGGCTGACACCTCGAGGGTTCGTGAGTTCAGAGAATGAATCCTTCTAGCTTCACCGGATCAAGCACTACCGAGGATCTAGAAAACTTTGTAGAAAGAATTGAAGAAAGTATTTGAGGTAATGCATGTGGTTAATATGAGAGGGTTGAATTGGTTGCTTATATACTAAAGAGTATGGCTAGAACCTGGTTTTATAAATGGAAGGAGAACAGAGTCGAGGATGCATCACTTCCGAGTTGGGATTGTTTCGAAGAAACCTTTTTGGGGAGGTTATTTCCTTGAGAACTGAAGAAAGCAAAGGTATGGGAGTTCCTCACTTTGAGACGACTCCATGAGTGTTCTTGAGTATGGGTTGAAGTTTACCCAACTTTCCCGCTATGCTCTGGATATGGTAAAGGATATAAGGGGAAGAATGAGCTTGTTTGTTGCCGGTTTGGTTCGTGCTTCAAGTAAAGAAGGTAGGGCTGCGAAATTGATTGGCGACATGGACATATCCAGGCTAATGGTCTATGTGCAGCAAGTTGAAGAGGAAAAGCTTAGGGATAGAGAGGAGTATAGAAACAAGAAGTGTCTGGACAACAGAAAAGTGGTTCAAATTGGCCACAATTTCAGAAGTCAAAGGGGTATGCACCATCATCTGCTAGTGTACCTACGCCCAGAAACAGAGGTGATTACAATGAACCAAATTCACAGATGTCGTGATGGCCGGGAAGGTTGCTTCAAGTGTGGTCAAGTGGGTCATTTTATGAGGGAATGGCATGAGAATAGCCAAGGTGGTGAAAATTTAGGCAATAGAGCTTAATCTTCATCAGTCACCCCACCAGACAGGGCTGCACTTAGTCATCAAATAGATGAGGGTAACGGGACTTCATGTCGTCCTCGACCTCCCATGTTGCACCGTCAACTAGGTGATTCTTTCATAACACCTTTACGGAATCCACCTCTTTATTCCTCAATTTCATTACTTGCCTATCAAGAATTTGAACCGGTACTTCCCCATAGGAAAGGTTATCCTTCACACCAAGACCCTAAATAGGAAGAATAGACTCGGGATCATCGGCGCACTTCTTAAGCATGGAAACATGGAAAACCATATGAACCGAAACCAATTCACTAAGAAGTTTCAATTCATAGGCAACCTTTCCAACCCTTTGCAATATTTAATAGGGACCCAGATAACTAAAACTCAACTTCCCTTTCTTTCCAAATTTAACCACCCCTTTCATCCGTGAAATATTCAAATATACTTTATCACCTTCTCAAACTCTAAGTCTCTTGTTCTATGATCTGTATAAGATTTTTGCCGACTATAGGATGTTTGCAACCGGTTCCTTATGATATGAACCTTCTCCAAAGTCTTATAAATCAAATCGGGACCAAGAATCAAAGACTCACCCACTTCAAACCATCCAATAGGAGACCTACACCTCCTACCATACAAGTCTTCATAAGGATCCATGGATATGGATGAATGAAAACTATTATTATAAGCAAACTCTTTTAAATGCAAATACTTATACCAATTCACCTTAGAATCAATAATACAAGCTCTAAGCATATCCTCAAGAGTTTTAATAGCATGATCCGCTTGACCATCCGCTTGGGGATGAAAAGTGGTGCTTAACTTCACCTTAGTACCCTACCCTTCTTGGAATGACCTCCAAAACCTAGATGTGAATTGTGCACCTCTATCCGATATGATGGATAATGGAATACCATGGCGACACAATCTCATCTTTGAAGATCCTTGCATAATGTTCCGCCATATAGGTAGACTTGACGGGAATGAAATGAGTGGACTTGGTCACCCTATCCACAACCACCATATAGAGTCATATTGCCTTTCATTTCGAGGAAAACCCACTACAATATCCATATTGATGTCTTTCCATTTATAAGTAGGAACTTGGATTTCTTGTAGTAAGCCACTCGACTTTTGATGTCCGGCTTTCACGTGTTGGCAATTGGGACACTTAGCAACAAACTCCGTTGTGTCCTTTTTCAAACCCTCCTACCAAAATACTTCCCTAAGGTCATGGTGTATCTTAGTCGAACCCGGATGAATGGAGTAATGAGACCCATGAGCTTCCTCAAGAATCTGGTTCCTCAAACCATCTATATTAGGAACACACAACCTTCCTTGACACCTCAAGACACCATCACCCCTAAGGAGAATGAATCATTAAGATTGCAAAGAATCAATTCCTTCAACTCCATCAATGATTGATCAAGGTGTTGTTTGGACTTCACCTCAACTACCAAAGATGACTCGAAATTATGACAGACTATTAGACCACTATTCGGAGAATCTTCCAACCTTACACCTAATCTAGCCAACCTATGAACATCTTTCACTAGGTCTTTCTTGGGTTCATCTACATGAGACACACTATCCATGATAAACATCTTAGAGCATCCGTAACCACATTGGCCTTGCCGGGGTGATATAGAACACTTATGTAGTAATCCTTCAACTATCCCGACCACCTTATTTGTCGGAGATTCAACTCTTTTTGAGAAAACACATACTGGAGTCTTTTGTGGTCGGTATATACATCAACATGGAAACCATACAAGTAATGCCTCTATATTTAAAGGCAAAAACCATGGTCACTAACTCAACATCATGAGTTGGATAGTTTCTCTTATGCACCTTAAGTTGTCAAGAAGCATAGGCTACCACTTTCCCATGTTGCATAAGCACACACCCTAAACCCATTTGGGATACATCACAATACACAATGAAGCCCTTTGTACCCTCTAGGAAAGTCAACACCGAAGCGGAAGTAAGCCTATCCTTTAAAATTGGGAAGCTTCTCTCACATGCCTCCGACCACTCAAATTTTTCTTATTTTGATCAAAGTAGTCAAGGGATATGCAATGGATGCAAAACCAAGCACAAACCTCCGTAATAACCTTCTAGACCCAAGAAACTTCTAATGTCGGTTAGAGTCATTGCTCCAGGCCAATTTCGCACCTCCTCTGTTTTTCTTCGATCAACCTCAACTCCCTCACTAGAGATGATATGACCAAGAAACGCCACCGACCTCAATCAAAACTCACACTTGATATACTTGGCAAATAATTGGTTCTCCTTAAGCACTTGTAACACCACCCTCAAATGGTTTATATCATCACCCTCATTTTTCGAATATACCAAGATGTCATTAATGAAGACAATGACAAATAAATCTAGGTAACTTCGAAATACCTTATTTATGAGATCCATAAATACTGCTGGGGAATTAGTGAGACCAAAAGACATTACTAAGAACTCATAGTGACCATATCTAGTCCGAAATCCCATTTTTGGTATATCCTCACCTCTCACCCTAAGTTGATAATACCCCAATCTTAAGTCAATCTTAGAAAAGTAGCTTGCCCCTTAGAGTTGATCAAACAAGTTATCAATCCGAGGGAGAGGATACTTGTTCTTAATAGTAACTTTATTGAGTTAGGGATAATAAATGCACATTCTAAGGGACACATCCTTCTTATTCACAAACAAAACGGGAGCACCCAATAGAGAAATTCTAGGTTGAATGAAACCCTTGTCTAGTAAATCCTTGAGTTGAGCCTTTAACTGTTTCAATTCGGTCGGAGCCATCTGATAAGGAGGAATTGAAATGGGATTTGTATCTGGTAACAAGTCGATACCAAAATCAATTTCCCGTTCGGGAGGAATACCGAGAAGACCATTGGGAAAAACTTCCAAAAATTCCCTTACTACGAGGATCGACTCAATGGGAGGAATTTTAGAGTCTAAATCTTGGACTCTTACAATATGGTATAAACACCCTCTAGTGATCATTTTACAATCTTTCAAACAAGAAATGATACGACCTTTAGGAATAGAGTTTCCCCCCTTCCACTCTATAACAGGTTCATTTGGAAAGCTAAACTTCACCACCCTCGTTGTACAATCTATAGAGGCAAAGCAAGCATGCAACCAATATATACCCAATATGACATCAAAATCAAACATATCAAGTTCTACTAGTTCAACATAAGTAACTTTATTAGGAAACATTATAGGCCAATTTCTATACATCCTCTTTGCAACAACCGACTCACCCACCGGGGTAGACACCATAAAAGGTTCATTAAGAATGTCGGATAATATTTCAAATTTTCAGCTATCAAGGGAGTAACAAAATATAATGTTGCACCTAGATCAAGTAAAACATATACATCAATCGATAAGAGTTTCAAAATACCAGTAACCACATCGGGAGAAGTCTCTTACTCACCCCTAGAGCGGAGAACATAGAAACAATTCTTCTTAGGAGCCTCATTTGAACTACTTGCTTGAGCTTGACGACTACCCTTGTCTTTACCCCTCAATTAGGCAATCTCTACCCTTGTTCCCACTTTTTCCACAACCAAAAAAATTATCTGTCCCTTTAAAACAATCACCATAATGCTTCTTGTCACACTTTCCACAAGTTGGCTTCTCAGTTGGTGAACTATTAATCTTTCCCTTTTTAGGCTTAGGGTTAGACACCCTATCATTCCTATCCTTTGGAAACATAGAAGGAACTTGATTAGACACCCTCTTAAACCTAGGTTTGCTTGAATCTCAAGCCTTTCCTTTGAAGAACCACCATCAAAAGATCCTGCCCTCATGGCATCTCTACTCTTTCTCTTAGCCCTTGCCTCTTCTACTTGTTGAGCATGAACCATGAGACAAAAAATGGCCATATTGTCATGAAGCATATCTAAATGACACTCCTCTTGCAAATCATCTGATACTCCTGTCACAAAGTGGTTCATTTCATCTTCTAGGGTACGCGACCAAAGAAGGAGCATATTTTGACAATTTAGAAAATTTCAAAGAGTATTCAAGAACACCCATACCTCCTTAGCATTGCTAGTTTACTAGGTATTTGGGTTAGACAAATGTAGGTCAAAAAACTACCAATTCGATTTGGGTTACAGGGGATGAATGGGGCATCTCCAGTTCTGTCACTGAGTTACAGAACGAGACCCCGATGACGGACCATCGTATTCACGACGGACCATCGTTGGGTTCGTTCCAACCACCCTAATACTCCACTGTCAAATGTTTCTCCAAGTGTCCACCGACGGCCACATGCGACGGACCGTTTTTCCCGCGACAGTCCATCCTGCACAACTGTTCTAGTTGTCAGAGACCCTATTCTTAAGGGTCTCTCATTTTTTCTAAGTGTCCTTCAACGGACACATGCAACAGACCATCATACCTACGACGGTCCGTCCTACACAACCGTTATGGTTGTAAGAGACCCTTTTCCTAAGGGTTTCTCTCTATTTTTCTAAGTGTTCTCAAACGGTCAACTACGACGGAGCGTCATACCCTCGACGATCCATCCTGCAAGACCGTCATGACGGTCAGAGACACCTTTCCTAGTGTCTCCATATTTCTTTAAAGTGTCCTCTGACGGACACCTACGACGTATCATTGTACCTGTGACGGTCTGTCCTGCATGACCGTTTCGATGGTCAAAGATCCCTCTCCTAAGGGTCTCCATATTTTTTTCCAAGTGTCCTCTGACTGACACCTACGACGGACCGTCGTACCTATGACGGTCCGTCCTGCACATACCATCATACTTGGCAGAGACTCTCCTTCAGCGTTCTCCATATAAACATAGTCTAAGTAAGACATGGCGGACCCCATGACGGTCCGTCGTACTCACGATGAACCGTCACCTAGTTTGTTGTGTTTCACTGTTACTATAGCAATGTAATTGTATTTTAAATTTTATTTATTTATTTATTTTGTGTGGTTTTGCTTTTCTTGTTTGCTCCTTCTAGTACTAA